ATCATCATGATTATTGAGAATCTTTAACAATTTAATTTTGTTACCTACATTTTAAATCTCAATTAAACTCAATTGATTGACCACTTAATTGACATGTAACTTACAAGTTAAACAAAAAAAAGAACTAAAAGGTTAATCATTATTTCTTATATATATAGAGATAAGTTTTCCTCTTTCACAACCTCATGCTTCAAATCCATATAGTTTTTGGTCTTAAACTACTTCATATATAGAAATATATTGGTCTTTCATTACTATTAGTTTATTACCATATACATAAAAATGGCGAGAATAAAATAAAAAAAATAGAAGTAGGATCTGCGATGAAGACCAAAAAGGAGAAATCAAAGATCGATATAAAAATGTGATTTTGGTTTTCAATCGATTTTTTCTTCTTCTTCTGTATTTTAGTTGTTAATTTTTGTAATTCTTATACGTGTTTTTAAACTTTGTAATCATTATAAGCTTTATGTTTTCTATTTTTACAATTTTTTTTTTTTACTTTTGTCTTTTTGTTGAATAATTTTATATTTTCATTTGTTATTTTTGTAAGTTTGGTATGTAATATTGTAATCGATATTATATTTTGTAATTGTTCATCTTTTAGTTTTGTTAATAGCTAATTTCTTGTGGTTTATCATATTTTTTTGGAACATAGCTAACACTATTTTTTTTGGAAAATAATCGGAGTTCAACTTTTATTTAACATTCACTAAATGTGAATTAACGTGATTTCATTTGTAAGTTAAAAAAAACAAATTGAAACTATAATCTTATTTTGTTTTCTTTTGAGTATTTATTAGGCCTTAAATTTTTAATAATGTTTTTTAAATTGCAAACTGATCATATCACTATTTTTTTATTTCTTAAGATCAAAATTTACTATTTTTAATGACCATATTCAACACTCAGAAAATGGAAATCCATACACCAAATCATTATTTAATAAAAAAAGAAACTTTAATAATTTTTTTAAAACTGATCCAAATTTGTAATTTGAAAACAATAATGCCATATAGTTATCATATCACTTATTTGTTAGTATTACTTACGATTGAAATGTACTATTTTATATACATAAACAGAGAAAAATGATAAAAAGTCATCACTAATGTAGAAGACCACATTTATCTACACAATTAAAGACCACATTCAGTTGATGCAATCAAAGTATATATCACACTAAATAACGTATGTATGTGCTATTTTCTTTTTTCACAAACATAAAGCCATTATAAGTGGCTCATTTATTCATACATATTTTATTTTTGAAAATAAATAGTATTTTTTTGTTCTAACCATACCACACAATTCTACAGTATATTTGTCTCTTTTGCATTTGCATATAATACCGAATGACTGTTACATTTATAAAATAAATGTTTTCATCATTAAAATAGAAAAAACTAAAACATAAATACAAGTTACAACATAAATAATAGGTTGAAAGTATATATGAGAAAACAAATATAACAACTCGCGGGTCGCGCGAGATATCATATATCTAGTATACTAATAATATGGGTTTACATCATTTGGTTCGACTGGCGTTAACTAGGTTGCTTAATATCATTCGTTTCAGTGGCTTCTTTGGAGAGGCTTAGTACACAGAACCTATTGAATTAATATCCATGACATTTATGAGACCCATAAGTTGTTTGTCTCTGAAGATCAATTCACTAATAACTTAATTTTTCTTTATAACCAGATAATTATTTTTGCTTTTGAACTATCGTTTACGAAACCAGTCTTCGGTGATATTTGTGGCCGATCCACTCTAGAATATATGAATGTTTAGATCAAGAATATAAAAGCTCTTCTTCTATAAATCCTTAGGAAACTCACTCAAAACCTAAAGTTCTTAATCTCTCTCAAAACACACATAAAGATTACCACAGCTTTGGTATCTCTTATATAGAGAGGAGATAAACACATCCTAATCCTAATGGATAAACACTTAACATTCTTAGATAACTCCTAAGAACTTTCTAGATAACTCCTAGATAGAAACTTTCCTTATCCTAAACTCTTTCCTAAATCCTTTAGAAAATCAAGCTTATTCAACATCCACAAGTTAATCATCCTTATTTTGTGTAGCACATAGGGCATGAATTAGTAGCACTTTAACGTCATTCCTCAAGCCGATTCAGACAACCGCACTCTTGGATAAGATCACTAATAACTTGTTCCAGAAAACTTTGGATTACATTTTGGCTTAGGTAGTGATCATAAGTCTTAATCATCTTCTCGCTGATTCTATGCCTGTTCATCGTAGTCGGATAGCAATTACACAACTTGTATACCATGGATTGAGATTTGCTCCCATAGGGTACACTTTCAGAGACTTTTCACATAGTTCCAGTTTGTTTTTCTTTTTGTTTGTTTGCCAAAGTGTATTCTATTGAATGCATGACAATAACATAAAAATATAAACAAAGAAGAAATTTAGCATTTTTTGTAATAGTTAAAAATAAATTTTACAGAGATTTAAAAAAATTTAGATAGATCTACGCATTTTTACTAAAATTTATAGTATAATTACGTTCTATTACATAATACTTATATGTCTATACTATAAATTCATTAATAATTTGTCGGTCTTAAATGTATTTCAGAAATGTTATGGAACACAATAAGGCGAGAATTATGCGTCCTTAAAAATTGAGACTAGTGTGCTATTTTGTGCAGAAAATTGTGGGTGAAAAATATAACTATGGACGTTTGCAACGAATTAATTTTTTTTGTTTGTTTGCTAAAGTTTTGTAAAGAATTCTGTTGGGACATGATCACATGATGGACAAATCGAAGAAAAACAAAATTAAATAATTTTGTGCAGATAACTTAGAATAAGTTGTCCTTGTTTTGTGTAGTGAGGTGATCTTCGGAGATACGAGTCCGATTATGAGAAGATATGTATGCATGCAGCACACACATGTCGTCAAACGGAAGTATACGGCGCGAGTAAGAGCAATGCAAAGACGCATATGAGTCTCTTATTGATTTTTTAAATATTATTATTGGATTAGAAACTTAGTTAAGAAGAGGTAGAATTTTTAAGGTCTAATGCAGAGACCCTTTGGGGTTTCAAAAAAAAAAAAAATTTATGTTTTAATCCAAATTTTTACCATCAAGCTGTTTTGTGTAGGTTGTACTAGTATGTCTGAATTAGCTTTTAAAGCTGCAATGAAGGTAAAGCATCAACGTCTTTTGTAGATAATGGAATTTAACAACTTCTCAGGCTCAGCATTTTGTTGCTCCATGTCTACGCTGCAATGAAGGTGAATCATCAACGTCTTCTCGTGACTCTTTGCATCCAGTTTTGTTTTCGTATTAATCAATTTGCCTCATCAATTTCTCCTCTCTTACAGGTCCTTCTCATGCCGTCTTAAACACGAGCCAAAAAGGATGAGGGTTCAAGCTGCATTTCGCATGTAGTAATATGTACTGCAATTTTTACCCAGACTCTGTTCCTGTGTCCACAAGCTGTTGTCCCAAAGAAGACAGATCCTCCATGAATGTGTCCACAAAGAGCTTCACGATTCTAACTTCTCGGTGAATAGCTCTTAAGCTATACCATGTCAAGAACCTTTCCCTAAAACTCTTGTCTATGTGACCTCCTAGCTCTAAACGTATAATGGTCTTCACGATATGACCCAAGTCTTTATCTCCCACTCCATTCGCTACGTTGATCCCCTGTTTCTCGTTCACTGTTGCTGTTCTTGATTTTCCCTTTAAGTTATCTCTCTTGCTGGGTGTTACAAGCACCTCCATGCACTACGACGCTCAGATTTCACTGCTAGCTTTCCTTTTTACGAGCTCAGATTCTACCTCTCCTGCACTACGGCGCTCAATGTTGTCGTTGTCACCATCTGAAAATGACGATACCTCGAGTCACCTTCCATTCTATAAAAAAAAACCAGCAAATCAATCTGATTATCCTGCAATGCATTTTATGTAGCTAAACCTGAGTTTCTACACGATTGACATGTAATTAAGCAAAAGGATCTCAAACAATGTACAATGATCGTCGAATTATCTATCCAAATCTTCTGGAAACACACGGGAGTCTAAGAAAACAGAGGAAAACGCAAAAAAACTTGATCCAATAACATGTCGAAGCTTCCAATTCAAACCATCCCTCAATCAGAAGCTTTCTAATCCCTAATTCGCATTTGATTCATGAGATTTTGATTTGGTGTAATCAGAACGACAACGGAATGATGGATTCTCTACTTAACAGTAATCCGCAAACGAGAAACCAATCACTATTTCTGTTTTGGTTTAACGAGGATCGCCATTTTCAGATGAAAATCCAGAGATTAGGGTTCATAAAATTTATCTGAAAACATCGTCGATTTCGGACCACTGAGCCACCGTCTGAGAACTGCCGACCGTCGGAGAAGCTGCCGGAAACAGATCGTGTTCTCCTCGATTTCGTCGAAGAAGAGAGCAGGTGGAAGAAATGAAAACTATCGGGAAACTTTTAGAAAAAAAAAATGTTTTCTCAAATAGTTTAACCAATAATATCTCTTCACGTGTTTGAAGAAACAGTGTTTGAAGAAACGTCTTCAAAAGTTCCCAAATAGGAGAAGTTTCTGCCAAACTAGAAACGCAGCCTCAATTGTTTAATATTAAATTTCTGTTAAAAACCCACTAAAAAATGACTTTTTTTTGTCATTTCTTCTTCTTGCTTTGGACAATTTTGGAAAACATCGGGACACGTAGATTGTCCTTTTTTCTTTTGGTAGACAAAGTTAGGCTTCAGTACCTTTCACAAAAAAAAAAAAAACAGTTAGGTAAGAAAGTAGGCATGCTTGTTAGTGGTAGCATAACGTTTGGTCTTATGCGTAATAATTAACATGCATGTCAGTATGTTACTTGTCAATGACCCAGATCGACTACAATCCACGCATAGCAATTGCCACATGAATAAATATGAACTTAATTATGGTAAATACTCATCCATTATAAAAGCAATAATAATTATATCCAGTCTTATTTCATGCATTGCCATTGACAAGCAAGAAACATCTTCTTATACAAGAACAGGTATGTGTTCGAAGATGTCACATAAATAAAAATCTTTTTATGATAACATTCTCTCGATTCATAATCATTCTTAACAAAACCTTATATATAGATCATGGACCAGCCTCACGCGCTCCTAGTCGCTAGCCCTGGCTTAGGCCACCTCATCCCTATCCTCGAACTCGGAAACCGTCTCTCCTCCGTCCTCAATGTTCACGTCACCATTCTCGCCGTCACCTCCGGTTCCTCCTCTCCAACAGAAACCGAGGCCATACAAGCAGCCGTGGCTAGAGGTACCTGTGAAGTTACGGAATTACCCTCGGTTGATGTAGACAATCTCGTGGATTCAGATGCGACAGTGTTCACTAAGATCGTAGTGAAGATGCAAGCCATGAAGCCCACGTTTCGAGAAGCCGTGAAATCAATGAAGCGAAAACCGACGGTCATGATCGTTGACTTTTTAGGTACCGGGTTGATGCCCGTTGCTGATGACGTCGGCGTGACGGCTAAGTACGTGTACGTCCCTTCACACGCGTGGTTCTTGGCAGAGATGGTGTACTTGCCGGTATTGGACAAGGTTATCGAAGGGGAATACGTTGATATCAAAGAGCCTATGAGAATACCGGGTTGTAGATCGGTCGGACCGGATGATCTTATGGAAACAGTGTTAGACCGGTCGAACCAGCAGTACCGGGAGTGTGTACGGATTGGCGAGGAGGTACCTATGAGCGATGGAGTTTTGGTGAATACTTGGGAGGAGTTGCAAGGAAACACTCTTGATGCGCTCAGGGAGGATGGAGAATTGAGCCGGGTAATGAAAATACCGGTTTATGCTATTGGGCCTATTGTTAGGAATAATGGGCCTATCAAAAGGCCCAATAGTATATTCGAGTGGTTAGACAAGCAACGTGACAGGTCAGTGGTGTACGTGTGTTTAGGGAGTGGTGGAACGTTGTCGTTAGAGCAAACGATTGAGCTCGCTTGGGGTTTAGAGTTAAGTGGTCAGAGGTTCTTATGGGTTCTACGCAGGCCCATTTCTTACCTCGGTGCGAGCTCGAGAGACGATGATGATCAGGTGAGTGCCAGTCTACCGGAAGGTTTCTTGGACCGCACGCGTGGTATGGGTCTTGTCGTCACGCAATGGGCACCGCAAGTTGAGATCTTGAGCCATGGATCGATAGGTGGGTTCTTGTCTCACTGTGGTTGGAGCTCAGTGTTGGAGAGTTTGACTAAAGGAGTTCCGATCGTGGCTTGGCCTCTTTATGCTGAGCAATGGATGAATGCCACGTTGCTAACGGAGGAGATCGGTGTGGCTGTTCGTACGTCGGTGTTACCGGCGAAGAAAGTGATTGGCCGGGAAGAAGTGGCGTCTTTGGTTAGAAAGATTGTGGCGGAAGAGGATGAAGAAGGACGGAAGATAAGGGCTAAAGCTGAGGAAGTGAGGGTTAGCTCTGAACAAGCTTGGGCTCAAGGTGGGTCGTCTCATAGTTCTCTCTTCGAATGGGCAAAACAATGTCGTCTTATGTCGTGATGGGCAAATAATATAGTTAATCCATGTCCAACCTATATATGTACAATGTACAATATTTTTCAATGTTAGATTGACGTCATTTTTTTAAGGTTTAATCGATCGTTACAAATTGGTAATTATGAGTGTATTTCCAAAGCAAAATTTAACTCTAAATCTCAATTTCACCTCTATTATTTCAGTTATTTTATGGAGAGAAAGATTATTTAGTATACTAATAAAGAGTATAATAAAGATTACATTCTATTAACACCTTCTTTCTTTTCTGGTTGTATAAATCCTCCTATTTGGTTAACACCTTACCTTCATAAGGACTATGTATCTTCATCTTTGCCAAATTAAATAATGTTATTTCGTCGAAAAAAAAAATAAAGATTACATTCTATTAATATTTTATTTTATTTTGTTCAAAAGAAAGATGTCATATATACGTTAAATAATGCCACAAATGTTACATGTCATTATTGTTGTTTGTATGAGTTGAATGAATGCAATGTGGTTTAATTAAAATAATATATTTCTAATATATTACCCTTCAAGTGCACGATCAAATTTTTAAAAAATCTGACCAATTTTTTTTTATGAACCATGATCTATGCCTTTGATCGTGCCCTTGAAGGGTCTTTGTCATCATTTGGTGCTCCTTTGGTTGGGATGATGTCGGAGAAATGTTTGGGTTTGACTCAAATGGAACTGATCTTATTAAAGAGTCTGGTCGTGCGGCCGAGGCGTTGTCGAAGGGTATCTTGTCGATGATGGCTATCCTTTTTGGATTGTACGTGTTGTCTTTGTTACACACCGTTACATTTTCTTTTTCTGAAAGATCGATAAATCGCTAGAAATCTTGGTTCATGAGAAATAGAAATGACATGAGAATTGTTACATCTTCATGGTCACTCTCTTTCTAATGTTTTATATGTTGTGAGTTATATTTTTTAATTGATTTTTTTTGTTAAAAAAAAAGAACATATTTATCACTGAGAAGGATCCGAAATACTCAGACTAATCTTATAGTTTTGTCCCGACCCAACCAACAATTTAATATAAGCTCCAAAAAAGCTTGCGATAATGGTTTACAGAATTTAGAACGGGCTAAGTCGGACTAGCCCCATTAACACTCATGTAGACTACAGAATAAAAAGGTTATGTGAACACATAATATTTTCATTCACATAATTTTTTCTTTTATTATATAAGAGAAAGAAAACTTTAAAGATGATTTTAATTTCCAGAGAAAAAAAACAAAGCGTTTAATGAAAAATTAAATCTGACTAGATCTTCTTCCTACAATGTTTGTATTTTGCCTATTTTTGATCGCTATTCAGAATCTAAGTATTAAGTAGGAGTAGTAAACAAAACAAAACAAAAATCAGAATCGCTATTTGTTTTGTTTCCAATGTTTTCTTCGTTAAGTGGACCATTCTTATTCATTGTCATAACATTTCAAATATAAATATCATTAACCCCCCTTATTGTTTTTATTATAGCAGTTAGTTGGAAAACATTTTTCTCTTAAAAATCACCTCCATTCGAGTGAAAATTGTATTCGTTTCTATGCCCCCAACCCAATCGTCTTCATACCAAAACCATGAAAATGAAGTAAGCATTTTTCACTTTTTCTTCATAATATCCTTTTATCTCGTCATCTTTTTCTTCTTCCATTAAGAGTATATTTTTACTCAATTTCATAGTGTTAAGCCCACTATTTATACATTACTATTTTTTTCCTTTCTATTGATGGTTTTTTTGACAAATTATTAGACTCTAGTCACTATACATTCCACATTTCTTGGTAGATTTCTTACAATGTGTACTACTATGTCCATAGAACAGGGACCATTTATGGAATCTCTATTTCGCTCATTATCATTAACTTGGCCACAATGATGCAACGAGCAGACGAAAAACTCATTCCTTCAACTGCCAAAGAATTGAAAGAAGCATTCGATGCGAACCTCTCTAGTATTGGACTCCTCTCGTTTATAAGAAATATTGTTCAAGGAGCTGCCTCGCCTTTAGCCGGTTTATTGGCCATCAGCTATGACCGCCCCACGGTTTTTGCGGTCGGTAGCTTCTTTTGGGTCATATCAACTATTGCAACTGGAGTCAGCCGCTACTTCATCCAGGTTTAAGCTTCTTTTTTTCTTTCTTCTCTTCCTATTATAGTCTAAGCTTTTGCACCAAAGTTTATATTAAATTGGGAGCATGCACCAAAAAATATTCTTGACTATAAATGAAAAAATCTAGACACCGGCCTGTCTAGATTTTAAAACTTAAGATCAATACCGTTAAGACTTACGACAAAAAAAGATTTTTAACTAAAATAAATCATTGACTAGAGAACATATAATGAAAATAGAAAAAAAAATTAACATTTTAAGGAAAAAAACCCTCTAATAAACGAATAATTTGTGTCAAGATCATTAAACTATTTTTCGTGACTGTGATACTAATTTTTGAGTATATTGTGGAACTTCCAAACGACCGTTTTGGTTACTTACAGGTCCAATATTAGGAGTCGTGGGACCAAAAACATATGTTTCCCCTCTTTAAAAAGAAAAGATTTTAAATTTGATTTTTGGTTCATATTATTATCTTGGACTAGGTAACCTTTGGCGCAGCAGCCAATGGGTTTGGACATGCAATTGTTTATCCGGTGCTTCAGTCGATAATCGCGGATAGCTTTAAGGATAGTGCAAGAGGTTTTGGTTTTGGTTTATGGAATCTCATTGGTACGGTTGGAGGTATAGGTGGAACCGTCGTGCCTACGGTCATGGCTGGTCATGTTTTTGACGGAGTCTCGGGCTGGCGCTGCGCCTATCTACTGAGTGCAACGGTAAGTACGATGATCGGGTTTCTTGTTTTTTTCTTTGTCACTGACCCGAGAGAGAAGAAGAAAACTAGTAGCTCCAATGTTCTTGACCATGAACGGTGATATAAATCTCTACATTCTTGATTATAGCTTCTTATTATTTTCAATTGTCCTAAGTTTTTGAGTTAGTCATGCGGCTTTTGTAGAGATGAAAACAATGCAACAATGGAGAGTTGAAGCTCGAATTGGATGGAATCGTGGGTGGCCATAAATGATGTAGCCAAATTACGAACATTTCAAATCATCATATTGCAGGGAATTATAGGTTCGGTGCCATGGAATGCAATGGTTTTCTGGACAATGTGGTTCGAACTCATTGGTAGGCATCCATTCTTTTTTTTTTTAATAAAATATTGTTAAATTATATTCAAAGAAAAAATAAACGTTTTTACAACTTGATTAATCCTTTTTCATTCTAAAAGCCGAAATTAACAACTTGATAAACTACTTCAGTTCTGCTGCATCCTTGTGCATCCATTCTTAATTATAGTTTGCACCTAAAACCAAAACATACATTATCAACAAAAAGAAAACATACGTTCTACCTGAATTATATGGTTTATTAAGTCCTTATTCGTTATAACTAGGTGAATACCCGCACATAATGTGCAAGTTTTTCTTTTTAACTATTCAAATCTTATATAAAATCAAATATAATCATTATTTGTTGTGTGTTAATATATTACTATAAAAAATTTTAAAAATTTTAGATAAAAAAATAATTTTAGAAATTAATTTAAAATGCAATATCATAAATTCAAAAGCAAATATAATTATAAATATAAAAACAATTTTTATTATTATTTGTTATGAAATTTTATCCAAAAAAGAAAATAATCTTAGTTCAATTTAAAATACAATATCATATAATCATTATTTGTTATGTGTGTTAATATGTTATTATAATAATTTTAAAAATTTTATCCAAAAAAACAATTTTAAATACAATATCATTAAAAAATGAGAATTATATAAAATAAAATAAATACCAATCAATATCAATCAATTAATGAAAAAAACTGTTCATTTTTTTGAGTGGTTTAAAACTTGATATTAAAAATTAGTAATTTATTACTTTTTAGAAAAAATATAACTTTAAATTATAAAAAGTGACACATGTCATCTCCATATCAATTGAAAATGATGATGTGTCATTCATATGGAGAGAGTTGGTCATCTTTTATATATAAGATTCTTTAAGGTCTAGCAAAACCAAATCTTTATACTACTACTAAAGTCGAAAGATGAAGAGGTAAAATTATTTTACTTCTGAATTATTTTTTCAAAAATTAAACCACAAATTGAACTGAACTAAAAATAGATTTGCACTAAAACTAAATGTTCATCCCGTTTCTAGACCATTATGAAACATAGAAATGGTATTATCCTAATCAAACAACCAAAAAACTATTTTCAAAGTTGTTTTTTATTTTATTTTAATTTTCAGGTTTTAGTCATAATCAGGCGGCGCTTCTGAACGGAATATTCACCACGGGACAATCAATAGGATCTTTAATCGGAGGAATAATTGCAGACAAAATGTCACATCTCTTTCCAAACTCAGGCATATTGATTTGCGCACAATTCAGCGTTTTCATGGGAGCTATATTCTCCATTATTCTTCTACAAATAATCCCACAGTCTACTAACAGTTACTACATCTACTTGCTAACTCTTTTCCTAATGGGTCTCACCATAACTTGGTGTGGACCAGCCATTAACTCTCCAATCTTAGCTGAGATTGTTCCTCCTACACATCGAACCATGGTCTACGCCTTTGACCGTGCACTCGAAGTGTCTTTTTCGTCGTTCGGTGCTCCTTTGGTTGGGATCATGTCGGAGAAAGTTTTCGGGTTTGGCACAAAAGGAATTGATAATATTAAAGACTCTGGTCGTGAGGCCAAGGCGTTGTCCAAGGGGATCATGTTGATGATGGCCGTCCCGTTTGGAATTGTGTGGTCTTTGTTACACACCGTTACATTTTATTTTCCGGAATGATAGGAAAACCAATAAAACTCCAACTTCTAGAGAAGAAGTAGAGATGCGCAATGAGAGTCATTAAAGCTTTGTTACTACTATTGTTTTTTTGGATTGGCTTGTGTTTTGATGCTTACTACATTTTGTTCGAAATAAAAATTGAAAACAGTTAAAGAAGATACCTAAAATCACTTGGTCAAAGACAAATGTACAAAAGAGCCAACGACACAAAGTTTCTTGAGACGAAGAAAAGAAAGATGAGTGCTTTGAAACCGAACCAGACACTCCTGCCTAGATGCAACGAGGGAATGAGGTGTTGCCAACATAACCACCGCCCATAGCTCTCCTAACATTGGTCTCAAACTGCTTCGGGTTAGTCTTTAAAACCGCTGCTGCGTCGTGGTTCAGAGGATCCTCGTAATTGGGTTCCTGTATGAAGCCAAAAACACTTAGTCCCCAAGAAAGTTGAATCAGTAGAAAGAGTATCTGCAAAGGGATATTTGTTACCGTGAAGAGATGGAAAAGACCGTAGATAACTGTGTTTATGTTGAGAACCGGTTTCCAGTCTTCACGCAAGATGTTCAGACAAACATTACCTTCTAAATCGATATTCGGATGGTAGACCTACAAAGGATAACAAATATATCATATTTCTAGAAAGATCGACACACTTCAGAGATTGAAGAGAGAGCCTAACCTTGGTAATGCATTTAACTTTTGGAGCTTCATGTGGATACACCGAAGAGACTTGGAATGTGAATACAAATTTACCATTTCTGTTTTTGGTAAAAGAAGAACGAATGAGTTTGTGTGTGTTCAAGCAGATTCAGTAAACCCGAGAGACAAAAGGGCAGATGAAGATTTGATATGCTTACTTGTAATAACCTTCGTCGGGTTTAATGGTAACTTCAAAGTTCATCAAGTCATTCTTCCCATTCGGAAAAGATATTGTACAAGACTCTGGCAGATTCAGCTCTGTTATATCTATACACAACAAAAGATATATATGGAGAAACAATACTTAGTTCTATCACTTGAAGAGCCCAAAAATCTATACAGAAATTTTACAATTTGTTCAACATCAGAAACTGAATTAGGTCAAAAGCAGAAGAAAGTGAGAACCTTTGTGAAGACGAAGTTCGCCAGCAGATTGTTTCTTGACAGAAGCTCCTCTACTGTTGGTGTTTTTAGCTTCTTCTCTTTGCTTTTCCTTAACTTTGAATAACCCAATCATGGCTCTTCTGCATCACAAAATCAACGAGACAAAATCATATTATATTATACACACATTGAGATAGCAATCTCACTTGAAGATTCATCGTAACAAAGAACAGCGAGAGATTTCGAATCATAATAATCACTTGTGAAACAAAAACCCCTATCGAAATTTCACCACATATAAAAATTCTTTAATCTTCCGAAAACCAAGAATCGCAGGAACCCTAATTTAGCAGATGATCGGAGATTCTACAGAACCAGATGATTAATCGGAAGGACGAAACACAAACCCCCAAGAACACGAAAGTAAACGAAGAGATTAGAGAGCTTACCAGTTGAGAAATTGAAACGAAGTTGGAAACAATTACGAAGGAATCTTTGTCTCTCTCGTAAGCTTCAACAACGAGAACACAGCAGCGATCGTAGCTTCTCTCTTCGCTGATTCAGAAATCAAAACCCTTCCGATGCTTTTTGATCAATTTTGAAACTGTTATGTATCGATTCGATCAGCCTATTGGGCCAAACGAAAATAAATGAGCCTACACGTCCACCGTTTAGACCCAACTTTTTGCGTTTTTTTTTTTCCTTTTGCGTTTCAGAAATTAAGAGATGTAGCTTATATAGAAATGAGCTTGCATGTATCCTTTGCGTTTCATAACACCATTAGACTTGTACCCGTACATACGTACAGGTTTTGTTCACATAATATTTTAAAAAATATATTTGTATATATATATATATAATTATAAGAATATGGTAATTTATTTGATTGTTTAATATTAAGTTTTTTTAAAATAAAATATTTGTAAAACAAATAACTTTTTTTTAAAAAAATTAGAAGTAGGGTAAGTAGGAAAATTATTCTACTATTCTAGAAATCATAGACATGATATGAGTAAAAAAAGACATAGATAAAAGCCATATTTTTTTGGTTGAATTGCTTGAAAACATATAATTACTTTTGATTTTTAATGTTCTCATATTTATGACATGCATAATTGCCATGATTCTGCAAGAACCACACCATATTTCATGTTTCACAATAAAATGTAACTATAATAATATGATATTTGACACATGAATGTAGAGTACGCTACATCTTTACATTTTTTCATACAACAAGTTTCAAAAAAGGTGTTCATGAATTTTATAAAAAGTATAGACGAATACAAAAAATATTAGTGTAAAAAATATTAAAAGTTTTTAGACGAATACTAAGAAATTAGAAAGATTGTTTATTTATTTTTGTTAGAAATATAGAAACCTTTAATTTTAATGTAACTTAATAGTTATGAATATTTATATATATGAAATAAATATTAAATAGAAAAGTTAAGTTAGAAGTAGTGGTATTAGTTAGTTTCTATTTTTTATTTTAAAATTTATGATTTATTAATTGGATGAAAAGATATGCTTCCTTCGTCTAGATGCTCATGTGGCAGCAGAAAGGAGAGAGTTCATTTAAAATTATATATATAATTATAAAAATTAAGTGGTTCCAAAATGGATTGAGAATTATATTGCAGTTGATAAAGCGGTGTAATTATTTGGCTAATGTTAGGTTGAACTGTTGAAGTAGAGCCAAAACAGTAACACCATTGTGAACAAGATAAAAATGTATATTTTTGACAGAAAAAGAAAACTTTTTCCCAGCTAATCTAGTGGTCTACTAAAAATTGACGAGATGTGTTACATAGAAAATTGCCACTCTACTAACTCTGGTTGTTTTTTACCATTCTAAATCTACACAGAACACAACATCCAATGATCCAAATCTAAGAAGAAGGAAAAAATCGTCAAAGGTAAAAGAAAACAAAAAGGAAATGAATTTACACTTTTTGAGTGGACTCGTCATTTAAATAAAGTGAAAAATTTTATATTTATTTCATCATCATCATCATCATCATCGTATCTAGTCCAGACACTCCATTACCCAACTCATTCACTCTAAATCCAATCCCAATTTAGAAAAAAAGATTCAATTTTTTCCATAAATTTCGAGAATTCGCCATGGCTACCGTGAATCTAAGCTCATGGGTACATCACTCTTGCAGAACACCCAGAACCGTACCCGGATCCATACCCGGGTCCAACAAATCCGTCATCAAAATCCAACCTTTCCTTCTCCGACAAAAACTCACCGCTTTATCAGTCACCAGAGAAGAGAGTAACAACAGTATCGTCCAGGAAGGAGAAGAAGACAGCCTCAAATTCGATTTCATGTCTTACATGATCGGCAAAGCGGATTCCGTCAATCAAGCTCTAGACTCCGCCGTCTCGCTCCGAGAACCGATCAAGATCCACGAGGCGATGCGTTACTCGCTCCTTGCCGGCGGAAAACGAGTGAGACCGGTTCTCTGCATCGCCGCGTGCGAGCTAGTCGGCGGCGAAGAATCCGCCGCGTTACCGGCGGCTTGCGCGGTCGAAATGATCCACACGATGTCGCTAATCCACGACGACCTCCCATGTATGGACAACGACGATCTCCGCCGCGGAAAACCCACCAACCACAAAGTCTTCGGCGAAGACGTCGCCGTTTTAGCCGGAGACGCGCTTTTATCGTTTGCCTTTGAGCATTTAGCGACGTCGAGGGTATCTCCGGCGAGGGTGGTTAGAGCAATCGGAGAGCTAGCGAGAGCCGTTGGATCAGAAGGGCTTGTGGCGGGTCAAATCGTGGATCTAAGCAGTGAAGGGATGGATCAAAACGACGTCGGATTAGAGCTTTTGGAGTTTATCCACATTCATAAAACGGCGGTTTTGCTGGAGGCGGCGACGGTGCTGGGAGCCATCGTTGGTGGTGGATCCGACGAAGAGATAGAGAAGCTGAGGAGATTCGCGAGATGCATTGGATTGTTGTTTCAGGTGGTTGATGATATATTGGATGTGACGAAATCGTCGGAGGAATTGGGAAAAACCGCCGGAAAAGATTTGATCGCCGATAAGCTGACGTATCCGAAGTTAATGGGTCTTGAGAAATCGAAAGAATTTGCAAAGAAGTTGATGAGTGATGCTCAAGAACAGCTTCAAGGATTTGATCCGGAAAAGGTTGCACCTTTATTGGCTTTGGCTAATTACATTGCCAAAAGACAGAATTAAACTCAATTGCGAATGTTTAGTTATTGGGTAATATTCTCCGTCAAGAGAGTTAGAAACTAAAGAAAGAGAACATTATGATTCATGTTCTAGTTTCTCTAACAGTCTTTTGTTGGTTATAAAGATTGGAAGTTTTTTACTTATTGTGAAACAAATCTCTCTCTCGTATTTTGTAATTTTGGATGGTCTGATTACAGAGTAGATTTGATAAAGTCTTATTAGGTTAGATCTTGAAGGCACGATAGTGATGATTGATGATGTTTGTTGTGAGATTAGTACATTGGACATTTAGAGTTGTGTTAAATTTATTTAATATTAGAGTTGTGTTAAATTTATTTAATATTAATATATTATTGTCTCTTTGGTGTCCACTAATGGTTTCTGAGTCGTGTGTCGTATTGGATGGTTGGTTCTTGGAATTCAATAATATTCAGAGAATCAAGCAGATTATAGAACGTTACGTTGATTAGAGTTTATTTTCTGGTTTATTATACTAGAGAGGAAAACGTGAGGAGGAAATACTTGATACATATTTTATAAAAATCATTGAGGATTCAACAATTTATAATCAATACTCCAAAAATATATTGTAGAAATATAAAATCATGGAGATTCTACAGAAAATCATGGAGTAAGAAATGGTCAATTCATGATTTTATAACATTTTGAAAATTCCATACAAGATAGAGATTTTTTTTTTTCTGAATTATTTATGTAATTAGATCCACAGAAAAAAAAACTGAAAACAGGCAGGCACTTATTCCAAAACGATATTGTAGAAATTAAAAAAAAACTTCAAAACCTTTCATGGAAATTGGTATAATATTTTGTCATTATTTTAGAAAACAAAAACCTTAGCGCTAACCTATAAACTAAAATGAAATTTGTTGTTAAACTATATTCAAATTTAACATTTTGGTTAAAAATAAACTAATCTTATTACTGTTTTTTTTTTTTTTGGTCAAACTAATCTTATTACTGTTTAAGTTATTCTATTCTAGATGGAAAATGAATGGCCCCAGGGCTTCAATTTTCAAGCCTCGACGACTGATTAATTTGTCTTTGTTCAGACAACAAAAGAAAAAGCAAAAAAAATATTTTATTTTCTTCAGTTTCTTCTTGAATTCTTTCTTTATTTTTTCTTTCTTCTTTCTTCGTTCTTTCATGTTTCACTAGCCATTGATGAGTCCGTCAAGGCCAAGTCGAGAGTACTGTAAGAAAGACTTTCTCACACTGTGGAAAACCGCGTGAAATGGTCTTCCTTCTCAGATCTCTCCCTTTCTCTTGAAATTTTCCCGCATTTTCTCTTTCTCTTTCCCTTCCGATTTCCCCCAAAGCGTACAAGCTACTTCTCTCCCAGAATCTCAAAAGAATTAAAAACCCTCAATAATCACGCTTTACCTTTATACAAAATTCCACCCTTTTTTTTACCAGAGAATCTCTGCTTTCATTCGCATTCTCATTACCAAAATTCATCTGCAAATTCCCAGGTAATTACTACTTTTACTTCATGATCTTGAACTCTCGTTTCACTTTTTTACAGATTTCCTGCGATTTTCTAGTACTCTTGGGGTTAAAGTTTTCGCCTTTTTATCTCTCTCTCTCTTCGATGTCGGTTCCAGTTACGTCTGATTTTAGATTGCTCCGCAAGATTCGGTTGAAATTTGGTTGCTTTAAGCTATAAATCAAATACCCATTTCGATCTTTTTCATATTGCATTACTTCTCTAGCTTCTGCTTTTGGTAATTGAAGATATCTCTCTTGCTCTACAAGCTCAATATCGGTTTGATTTTCTAATTCGTAGCTCTTATTCTCTGATCAGGTCCAAAAATTTCAACATTTTCATAGATAGAAAGAGAAATGATGGGAGGAAAATCTAGCAAGAACAGAAAAAGTGATGAATTTGGTTCACCTACAACACCTGTACAGATCAAGATAAACTCAGCTTACACTGAGGACTTGAGCTCTTACGAGAGAGCTTGTAGTGAAGACCCAAAGCTCGAGTCTTTTGACTCTGCGCTTCACGAACGAACTAACCGAGTCATCAACAAGCTCGCATCAGGCGTGGAGATCAAATCCTTGTCGTTTGATTCCCTTAGAGAAGTGACACAATGCCTTTTAGATATGAATCAAGACGTGGTCAAAGTTATACTGCAGGACAAAGAGGATATATGGAACAATCAAGATTTGTTCTCTCTTGTGAATATGTATTTCGCAAGCACTTCAAAGACAATGGATTTCTGCTCTGAGCTCGAGAATTGCCTAAACCGCGCGAGGAGAAGCCAAGTGATTATTCAGTTTGCTGTTAAGCAGTTTGAAGAAGAGTCTGAGATACCGTTAAATGGGAATAACGAGAACAGAAAGTATGAGAAGACGCTTGAGGAGCTTAAGAGGTTTAAATCAGCAGGTGATCCGTTTACTAAAGAGTTCTTTGCTCTTTTCGATTTGGTACACAAACATCAGGTCTTGATGCTTGATGAGCTTCATAAGCTAAAGAGAAAGCTTGATAAGAAACTCAAGAACATCAAAACATGGCGAAGAGTGTCCAACATGGTGTTTGTGACTGCGTTTATCTCTGTGCTTATCTTCTCGGTGGTTGCAGCCGCCGTGGCTGCACCGCCTGTTGTGGCGGCTATAGCTGGTGCATTGGCTGTTCCGGTGGGATCTGTTGGTAAATGGTGCAACTCTCTTTGGACCAAATACGAGAAAGTGGTTAGAGGACAGAAGGAGATTATTACAACGATCAGGATCGGGACTTATATATCAGTTAAGGAGATGGATAATATAAGTGTTCTTGTGCGGAAAGTGGAAGTAGAGATTGAATCTTTGTTGAAGAATGCTGAGTTTGCTGTGACAGAGGAGAACGTTGTGAGGCTTGCGATAGATGAGATAAAGAAGAAGCTTGATGTGTTTACTGAAACCATTGAAGAACTCGGGAAACATGCGAATAAGTATTGTAGCGATGTGACAAAGGCAAGAACCGTGATTCTGCAGAGGATCATTCGATACCCGACTGGTTCAACGAGCGAAGAAGCTACCTGGTAAAAACTAAACTTGTTTTTGAACAAAATTGTGAACATCTCCTACTTATGATTTTATAAGTTAGTTTGGACTGAGATTTTTGTGTGATTTTGATTGATGATCAGGACGGAAATGTTGACGTGAGAAGGCGGATTCTGTTCCGTGTTTGGCTTTGAAGAAAATTGTTGGTTTGTTTTCTTTAGCACAAGTATTATGAACAGCTAAGGATAATGTTATTTAGTTGCCCTGAGGTAACCTTTGCTCAATACATTAATTAAAAATACTTTTGGAATATTTGATTCTGGCTTTTATGGAGTATAACTATATGGAGTATTAGTTAATGAATCTTGTATTTTTAGATGTATGTTTATCCCATAAATGAATGAATGTCTCTGACTCTCTGTCTTTAGCCTCGGTTAAAGGATTCCTAAGCTGGATCCTTGAAGAAAGACTCAATCAATCAAATATTAATTACTAAAATTAAGTCGTGAAGAGTTATAAGTTGTTGAAGTATATTTCTTTAACTGAAATTCGGATATGAAACATTGTTACTTCTTAATCAAAACTTCACTATAAGTATCAAAGGGTTTTAAAAGTCAATTGACTCGTTGGGTCGATGTGATGGTTGGTCTTATTCAACAGTTGAGTGATTAATCAAAAGACCATTCAGCTAAATTAATTTCAGAAAATTTTACTCATTCTACTTACAAAAAATAATTAAACTACTGCAATTTTTATGTTTTTTTTTGTCGAAAAAAACTGCAATTATCATGTTAACATACTAATTTAACATAAACATAAATCCCGGCAATGGTTATTTTATACATAATTTAATTAAATTTAATTTTTATAGAATTCATCAAGACAAATCGTGGTGTGTAGTGGATTAACAAAAGATGTTTTGCACGTTTATTAAAAACACCATCTTCACTAAATTATCTGATAATCCGTTGCAATGACAAAACAACAATTTCAGTTATTTCTGTTGGCAATGAAGTCAGCAAGAGCTATCAAAGGTTTCACTTTGTCCGAATCAAACCCTTTAAGATGTTCTCTTGCATCTCTCTTCAATCTCTGAACAAACTCTTTCGACTTCTCAATCCCCAAGACCTTAGGATACGTCAGCTTTCCGGCGACCTTATCTTTCCCGGCGGTTTTCCCCAATTCCTCCGACGATCTCGTCACGTCCAAAATATCATCAACCACCTGAAACAACAATCCAATACACCTCGCAAAGCTTCTCACTTTCTCAATCTCTTCCTCCGATCCACCACCAATAACCGCTCCGATAACCGCCGATGCTTCAAGCAACGAACCGGTCTTATGAACGTGAATAAACTTGAGTTCCTTTAATCCGACGTCGTTTTGATCCGACCCTTCACTGCTCAAATCCATGGCTTGTCCCGCCGCGAGTCCTTTTGTTCCGATGGATTTCGCAAGCTCTTTAACGGCTCGAACCATTTTCTCCGGTGAGACGTTAGATTCCGTCAAACCCTCGAAAGCCAGAGCCAAGAGTGCACCGCCGGAGAGAATGGCGACGCTTTCTCCGAAGACTTTGTGTGTGGTGGGTTTTCCTCGCCGGAGATCGTCGTTGTCCATACAAGGAAGATCGTCTTTGATGAGTGACATTGTGTGAATCATCTCAACCGCACAAGCCGCGGGAATCGCTAAACGCTCTTCTCCTCCAACTAGCTCGCAGGCGGCGAGGCAGAGTATTGGCCTGACGCGTTTCCCGCCGGCGAGAATCGCGTAACGCATTGCCTCGTGGATGTTGAGAGGCTCGATGAGTGGAATGGCTTCGTCTAGTGCTCTGTTTATTAACTCTGCTTTGCTGATCATGTACGGCTTGAAATCGAAACCGTCTTCTTTGTTATCTACTTGGATCAAAGAATCAAGAAACTCGTGGACGTCTTTTCTGGCGAAAACGGCGGTGACGATCGGGGATTTGATCGGAAGGAGACGGATTAGCCGCCGTGTATTCGCCGGAGTCAACCGTCGTTTTAGAGTTGCATACACGAAGTTTAGAGAGAGGAAGAAAAGTAAAAGATAGAGAAAAATTGTTTGAGCATCCATTTGATCAATGGATTATGATTGATTGATCCTTTTGTTTTCTTTATTGAACAAATCTCAAGTAGTAGATTTTTCTGATGATATTCATGACCTTTCAAAGGCCAACTTATATATACACACACAAAGTCTTGGAAAACAAGTTTTAGGATCTATTTTAATACCTCATTCACTTTAGAGTGTAGGAGAATAAAATGTCCAACTTAACTATAGTTCCTTCGAATTTACATCGTCCACATGTCTTGGTGAAGAGTGAAGACGTCAAGCAATTGAGAAAGTTTGCATGGTTAATTAATCAAGAAACTTCTCTTTTAAGGGCACATGGGAACAACTAAGTATTGTCACTCCTCCGGTCTCATGGGCACATGTTGTTTGGTTTAAGGAGTCGATCCCTCGTGCTTTGTTTATCCTCTGGCAATTCTTGGTCACCGTTCAATAAGAGACAGACTTCTAAGATGGGGTATGAATGTTCCTCTAGCTCTTCTCTTCTCTTTGTTCAACGAGAACATAATCCCATGCACACTTGTTATTTGACTGTGTTTTCTTGGTGACCATTTGGCAAGCCTTTGCTGAAAATGTCTCAAGTTATACATATATTGGCAGATATTATAGATAGTAACCTCAATGTTATCGTTGTTCACTCATGATTCCCGGTTTAGGCTCTAATACCATAAAGAAATAGAAATTGGCCAATGTTTTCGGATCATATTCATGAGCCTTTAAAAGCTAATTTATATACATAAAAAATCTTCGAGAGCAAGTTCTAGTAGATGCTCTCTTGACTTTCCTAATTTCATGTAATTAATACCAACCTTTAATATTCAACAATAAGCAGCAAGTAACTAAAATGATTATATGTTCCTAATATGCAAGTGATTCACTTCAAGTCTCCACATTTTTTCTAAATTCACATTTTTTCCTGGATTTCAGAAAAAGGTCAACTACAAGAACTGTTTCATCGTCTTTCACAGCAATACATCAAAGAAGTTAAGGAAATTCGATAGCTGAAAATCTGGAAGCAAAACGTTAGAAAAATAAGACTGTATGTTGCTTGAGGGTGATGGTATCTTTGTAGTGAAGCCTGAAGATGCAAACAAGGCTGGAGCAGCACGTGTAGCAGTCCGACTAGCTCTGGAACTGACACGGGAAGACTTGCGAAGCAATCTACACACGTGGAGGTGAGCTAGAAGCTGAGCTGGAGCTGCAGGACGTGCTGGACACTTCAAGAGACGAGAAGCTGACGTGGATAAGAAGCTTGGAGTATCTTGGAGGATCTTTGAAGAAAATATCAAGTTTCCTCTATCTTAGGAGAACATAAGGAAGGTGAAGATTCTCATGAAGATTTGGAGAAATCGTAAAGAGAGTCTAGGCGAGGAGTAGCCGCAAGTCCTATTGTGTATAAATAGGCGTGTGAAAAACCTTGTAGGGTTTTTAACATAACTGAGAGAATTCTTAGCAAAGGGTGAGCGAAAATCTGTGAGAGTTTTTGTGAGCTAGTGTGCTAAGGGGTTTGGGTGAGAGGTTCTTGAATCACGTATCGATTCAAGAACAGGTGAGGCTAGTGTAGTAAATCAAAGTGTGTCTTGAGGTTGCTCTAAATCGGGTTCTGTATACTTGTAAGTTACAAACAGATTTACTAGTGAAATATTCTTGAAGAGAAAATCCCTGTGTTGTGTTCTGTGTTAGTTCTTGTATTACTACTCTTACATTTTCATTTGGTATCAGAGCGGTCATCTGTGTGTATTACAAACAGGTGAGATCCTGCGGAGAAAATGGAGAGCTATAAGGAAATGGTGAACAACTCCAGGATCATCCTGGATGATGGGAACTACGGTTTTTGGAAAGCTAGGATCAGATCCATGATCAAAGGGATCGATCCACTAGCATGGAAGGCAGTAACTGATAAATGGGAAGAACCACTGGTAGCTGATGCCAACGGAGTCTTTCATCAGAAACCAGAAGAAAGTTGGACTGAAGAGGAGTCAAAAAGAGCAAAGTACAATTCAAGGGCGCTGGCTACCATTCACACCAACATATCAAGAAAGACATTTGAGCTGATTCAAGGTGTTGAGACTGCCAAAGAAGCATGGGACATACTTCAGATGCAGTACGAAGGTACAACAAAGGTTCAAAACTCCAGAAAGGACATGCTTGCTTCTCGCTTTGAGAATCTAAAAATGGAGGAGGATGAAACCATCTCTGAATTCAGTTCAAAACTAAGTGCTCTGGCACAAGAAGCAGCTGTGTTAGGCAAAAAATACAAAGATAAGAAGCTGGTGAAGAAATTCTTGAGGTGTCTGCCATCGAGGTTTATGGGGTATAAATCTGCACTCAGTGTGTCCAGCAACACAGAGAACATGCCATTTAGTGAACTTGTAGGCATGCTGAAAGCTCATGAGATGGAGCTAGACAGTCTGAAGAAACCTAAAAGTCTAGCTCTAAAATGTGAAAACCGCACCACTGAAGATGAGGAAGACGATCCCATAAGTGTTCTGGTTCGAAGATTTGATCGTGCTTTGCGGAAAACTGGGAAACCTCAGAAGAAGGTTGCCTCTTTCAAGAAGACAACTGAGGGGGACAAGTCTAACAGGAAGAGTGAGGTGCAATGTCATGAGTGCAGGGGATATGGACATTTCAAGAATGATTGTCCTACTATCAAGCGACAGGAGATTCAGTGCTATGGCTGCAAAGGATTTGGACACACTCAGCTGGAATGTGTCAATGATCAAAATCGCAGGAAGGACAAGTCCATGTTGGCTGAGGAAGAATCGGATGATGACTCAGAGGATGACTCAGTTGAAGATACAAACAACTTTGTGACGTTTATCGGGATCGCTGAAATTGAGGAGGGACAGGAGTCAGAGTCAGAGCCTGAAGAAGAGAAGGAGGATGATCTCATAAGCAGCTACAAGGAAGTACGTCATGTCCTGGTTAGCCTCAACAAAGAAAACAGTGAATTGAAGAAAGAAAACCAGAGACTGTCCGTATTAGTAGACAAGCTCAGCAAAGATCTCAAAGCAGCAAATGCACTTGGCAAGGGAAGTGTTGACTTGATCAAGGAGAAGCTGGAATTAGCCAACAAAGCTGAAAGTCTGAGGCAGCATCTAAAGGTTGAAAAGCAAATATCGGAGAAGCTGGAGTCAGAACTAGATCAGCTAAAGAAGCAGATTCAGATGTTCGCAGGGACCAAGCAACTAGACAACATCCTGAGCTACGGATGTCAAACCAATACAAAGCATGGGCTGAGGTACAGTGGATGGGAACAGAGGAGCTCAGATGAAATCAAGTTTATCTCATCCGGATACAACCAGCCTGAAGGACGAAGATCTGCCACCAAACCGCGAAAAGGACAAGAGTGCTATTACTGTGGCAAGATCGGACATATCAAGGCATACTGCTACAGCAGATGGAACAGGGTTCAGAAACTGATGAAGCAACATAAGTTTAGTTGGAATGGATCCACGAATCAAGTCTGGGTCAGGAAAGAGGATTTGCGATTTGAACCTAAGGGACAACTGAAGAAGAATCCCATCAAGCCGAGAGAATTCACTGTTAAGAGATCTTCCAGAGTTGATCCAATGTCAATGCTGTGGCATGGATTCAAGTGCAACATGGCACAAGTTGAAAGCGATGAAGACGAGTCAGAGCCTTGGTACTTCTATAGTGGCTGCTCAAGACACATGACTGGAAACCGAAGCTACCTCCGAAATGTTAAGAAAATTAAGGGAGGAAGAGTTATGTTTGGTGATGGAAGTGTCGGTGCCATACAAGGAAAAGGTATTATAAAAGACGAAGATCAGCCTGATCTAGTCAATGTATGCTTAGTACAGGGACTTAAGGCGAATCTTATCAGCATAAGTCAACTGTGTGATGAAGGGCTAATTGTGATATTCACCAACAAAGGATGCAGAGCAGTG